GTTATGGAAAGTAAATAATACATGGAAGAAATGAAAGGCTTTTTTTTACATGGTTTTTTTTTTTTTTTTTTTTGTTAGTCATCCCTGCTGGGACCCTGCCGAAAATGTTCGAATTGGGCCCCGCACTTCCTAAAGCCGGCCCTGTCCACACCCGTGTCCCACGTGAGGAGCTCCATTTGATCCCCTGCTACATGGGAGCAACGTTGGGCAGGGACATTCCATAGTATAAACGTATACATAGGCCCCTTGACCTGGGTGAGGCCTCTAGGCATGACCACAATATAGATAATTCATTCCTGCTTTTGGCCCGTATGCCCGTCTGTCCCCATAGCTGCTCCCCACGCATACCCACCCCCCTCTCTCAGAAGACCCTAGGCTCTATCTGCCATACCACAAGACATTAATTTGTATTTGCTGAGCCACATCAGTGTGCTTGGCCCTGTACAGACTGTTCTCATTCGTAAGCGCCAACAATGCTCTGAGCACTGCACAAGACACCAAAATGAGGGCATCCTTGTCCCCAAAGAGCTTACAACCTACATTTGACACACACAATACAGCTCAGACAAATATGATGCACCATTTGAAGGCATGGTCTCAGAGGCGTGCACATTTTTTTCTATCTAGTCTAGAATAATTTTCTGCTGTGTAATTAGTATAGTGAAACAGTAACCACCCGCTAATAATGAACCTATTTGTGTAAACTAAGATAGAGGGAGAATGGGGGGTAGGGGAGAGAGAGGAAGAAATTTGCAATCCAGCACAATCCTCTTGAACCAAACGTATTGGAGCAAATCCTCCCTCTTACAAACAGTTATGTCCATGTAGAGGTACAGGACCTTGATCTTAAAGGTTTAATCTAAAACTCTCACAGTAAAAATAAAAGTTCAAAAATTAAAAAGTGGCCACCTTGGGTTACTTTTTATAATTAATATTACGTTAGCACTAATTGATTTATATCAGTGATTCTCAAACTTTTGTACAGGTGACCCCTTTCAAATAGCAAGCCTCTGAGTGCGACCCCCGCCTTATAAATTAAAAACACTTTTAAATATATTTAACACCATTATAAATGCAGGAGGCAAAGCGGGGTTTGGGGTGGAGGCTGACAGCTTGCAAGCCCCCATATAATAACTTTGTGACCCCCTGAGGGGTCTCAACACCCAGTGGAGAGCCCCTGATTTATATACTTTATACATTTTAATTCAAGCTGGTTGAAATTTTTCATTAGTTGTCAGCAAAAAATGGCCTTTTTCAGAAACAAAATTTGTCACTGAAATTTGTAGAGCTTTTATTTTTCCATCTTTAAATTAAAATTCAAACACCAAAAATAGGTTTGTTTTAATTTTCATTTTTCCCTCCCTTTCTTTCCTTTTTTCCATTTTGTCACTGGAAAAGGAGGAGGAGAGAAAGAGGGGGGAAAGGCAGGGTTTTTGTAATAGAAAATTCAGGAAATTTTGAATTTTTTCCACAAAAAAATAATTTTCTCAAATAACATCGTAGCTACTAGGAGATGGAACAACAGTTAAAAATTTCTTAAAGGACAAAAAGAAACTTCAACTACTATGCTATCACATTCTCAAGTTAGTAGGAAAGTTAATATACAAAATCATAGAATCATAGAAGATTAGGGTTGGAAGCAGGGCCGGCGCAACCCATTAGGCGACCTAGGCGGTCGCCTAGGGCACTACAATTTGGGGGGCGGTGACCGCAGCGGTATTTCGGCGGCGGGACCTTCTGGCACCTCTCTGGGGGGGCGGCATTTCGGGGTGGGACCTTCCGCCACCTAGGGCGGCAGAAAAGCTGGCAGCGCTCCTGGTTGGAAGAGACCTCAAGAGGTCATCTAGTCCAACCCCCTACTCAAAGCAGGACCAACATCAACTAAATCATCCCAGCCAGCAGGACCAGTGCAAGGATATTTTACACCCTAGGCGAAACTTCCACCTTGCGCCTCCCCCCCTTGCACATCGGTTCATTGAGGGGCAAATCCCAATGAGCCTTTATAGACCTCAGGGGCCAGCCATGCCCAGGGGCTGCTCCCCAGAACTCCCTGGGGTTCCCCCCTCCCTGCCCCCTGAACTCCCCTGGAGGGTGCACAGCCTCCTCCCCGCGAGCCCACCCCACCCCAGCAGCCCCTGCCCTGAGTCCACTCACTGGCTTTGCCAGGCTTGGGACGCTGTAACATCTTGGCAGGGAGGCGCCCCCTTTCGGAGGCACCCGAGAGCCAGAGCGTCCCGCTTGTGCTGGCGGCGAGCCCCAGCCATGGAGGAGCCGGCGTGGTGCAGGGGGACAGCAGCTCTGTAAAGGCGGCGACGCCACTAGCAGGGAGCAGCCGTGCCTGCCCCTCCTGCCCAGGCTGCGGCCCGGCGCCCCCCCCACCCCTGGGAGGTTCCTGCAGACTGCAGCGGATGCATGCGGGCACCGGCTCCCCCCTTGCCGCCCTCGGGCACTGTGGCTCCAGGGTATGTGAGCCGCCGCTGGAGCGCGGGGCCCTGAGCCTTCTCTGGGAGGGGCAGCGGCGGCTCACATGCCTGGGAGCCGCAGAACCCGAGCACAGTGAGGGAGGGAGCCGAGGGTGCCCCCCCCAGGCTGCGGCCTGGCATCCCCCCGGGGGCTCCTGCACTGGACGCATGAGGGCGGCATCCCCCGTGTGTCCCCCAGCTCCCCCTTTGCCGCGCTCGGGTTCTACGGCTCCTGGGAGTGGGAGCCGACGCTGGGAGCCGCAGAGCCCAAGCGCGGCGAAGGGGGAGACAGGGGGTGCACGAGGGCCGCTGCCCGCATGCATCTGCTGCAGCCTGCAGGAGCCCCGGGGAGGGGGTGGGCGGACCGCAGCCTGGGCAGGAGGGGCCGAGGGCACAGCTGCTCCCTGCTAGTGGCGTCGCCGCCTTTACAGAGCTGCTGTCCCCCTGCACCACGCCGGCTCCT